TAACATGGTCTCGTGATTTTATAACTTAAAAAGTGTTCATTGATAATGACATAGGTTCGTACAAAGTGAGCTCAAGATAGAATCACAAATAATGATTAATATTCTCGTCATTGATCAATGACATTCATGAAGTTTGTGTACCCTAGAATTCAAAGTCGCAATAGATAGCTCTTGTATTTCATTAAAAGCCAAACGATTATTACAATGTAAAGTTTTGAACGTATTTATGTATTTTGAGTTAAGAATTTACGAAAATAATTCATTAACTCCGTGGAGGAAAAATGCTTTGCATCTCTTAAGAGTATTAAAAGATATCCTTTCAGAACTTTGAAATTTCCCTTCGTATAAAGATAAAAAAAATTCCCTTTCTATAAAGCCCTTTCTATTTTTCAATAAACCAAAGCCGTTGGTTCAAATTTCATGACTGTTTTTCGTAATCGTAGACTGCACTTGCAGAAGAAATCTTTTCCATGGATGGCAGCATGGTCCCAGATTCATAATTTATTTTAAAATTTTATATGGCCAAAGCTTTCTTGGGATGTCAACATCTCAAAATCAGATGAGAATTTCAATTTAATCTGGGGCATTGAGAGGACAAATTAAGTGGAAAATGATTTAAATAGGGGCTACATCACGTTTTGAGTAGATTTAAAGAGACTTTTGCTCAGTAGAATATATTAGAAGAGGAACTGAGAAACAAAAATTAATACATGTAATCGACTCCAAATTTATTAAAAATAAGACATAATTTGTTATTATAATCTAATAATCATCAGTTAGCCATATGACATCGAATTTGTTCCTTGGCCTAGTACATAGTGCCCCTCAAACTATGGGAGTTGGCCATGCCCATCAACCCAACGGGTTCCATGAGGAAGGTGGTGCAAAGGAGGCTCTAGGGTTTGTTAAGGATGGTAGCAAGGGTCGGCAAGGGGGGGGGGGGGAATGAAATGCATTTTCATCTCAATCTTTACGAAAGAGATCGACAATCCATCAGAAAGTCTTTTCTGTAGAATGACTCTTAGAAGGTGAAAAAAGGCTTTTTATTCTGTCCCATATAGTGTATTACTATCAGCCCTATATATAAGGAGGAAGATGCCAAAAGCAAGAATATTGCCTAGTGACTAGAGTGAAGTTGTAACAAAGTAATCGAAGTATAATGTACATCTAAGATTACACTCTTTTCAGAAAGAGTTAACGTTTACTGATTATTGAGATTTGAGACTATTTCATAAGTCAAGTTCAATCATATCAACAAACATGTTAATAGACCGTGAAATCACAAAGACAAATGTACAGAACTCATCAATATATTATGTAGGACTTCACTAAGCAATGACTAATTATTTGTTCAAGAATATTTGCATGAATAATACTACACATATAGAGTTTGCCATTCATTTAGATTCCAATATCAATTCAAGTTACATTTGCAGTACTTTGAAAGCTGAAAATAAGGAAACAAACTCATTAAAAATATGGGGCATGCCAAAAGAAAAATTGCTTGCTTTGACTAAAAAAAAAAAAGGTGTCCAAAAAATCTTCCTTTATACAATAATTTGGTACCATCTCTTTAGAGTTTTCACAGTTTGGTACAGGTATCTCATAATTGGAATTGTGGGGGTGGGTTTAATGCAGATAAAAGTAAGTTCTGAGAATGCAGACATGATAAAGCTTGAAATCCCACCATCTGAGACTGGCTTGGCAAAGTCTTGTTGCAGTGAACAAGCATGTGGAGAAAATGTACCTGCAATATCATGATTGTTTATGTAGGTACAAAAGCTTCATTTCAATCTTGATATATAGAGACACACGATAATTATTACTTTATTTAACATTTTCTTTTCTTTTCTTATAAATGAAATATTCCCTACGTATAGGGAATAATTCACAGAATCCCTACATGTGGCGCATTGGTAGTACTTGTATGGTGCTTTGTCCGTCATATTTGGATTCAAACCAATGAAAAATTGTCAAGTATTGATCTGTAAAAATTTTGTCCAGTTTCTCAGTACTTGTCGCATAATATACACAGGCTGGCCCAAGACAGGTGTCATGCCAAAGTTGATCTTTTGCAATGCCAAACCATTCAAATCTGGTATATTTATGAAATTTTTATAAATATCAAGTCAGGTCATATCAGATTGCCTTGCAATCTTATTCAAAGGCTTTCTATTAACATCTAGAGTTTAATCTTCCATACCTTAAATATTATACCATTCAAACACGACATATAATTCTACACATTTGTAACATTTTTTCTTCACCTAACAAACTAAAGCTACATGATAAGATGTTACGACCTCATTTTCAAGACTTCAAAGTTGATTCTATTTTATATCTTTCCTAGAGAGAGACAATCAAACAATTTCCAATCATGATCCGTACAAATCGAATCATCCATAGAATATAAAAAAGAAACTCCAAAATTTTGGAGAACGCATGGATAGCTTGCAATTCTATTGTATTATCAATTATCAGAGTTTTGAAATGAATCTCATTAAAAATAAGATATTTTTGTCTCATGATGACTTGCTCCAATTCCATTGAGAAACTTTAGTTATTGGATTAACAAGTCCATATTATACTGCAACTTGTGGGTGGGGACAGTGGTACAAATGGCTCATCCTCATTTGTTAAGACATCTCATGTGTAAATATGGGCAGGTACATCTTAGATTACTCTAAATTATTTTATTAATTTCCTACATTCAAAATTTGAAATACTTTAAATGCATTTAGTTATAAAGAGAGAGTTTGGCTCTAAAATATAGATATTCAGTTTGAAGAACCAAACCCACTTTCTTAATTAAAATATTAATTTCAAAAGTTTTTTGAAACGTGATTTTAAGAATTGATTCTTTAAAATAGAGAAGAGTTTGGCTCTAAAATATAGATATTGAGTTTGAAGAACCAAACCCACTTTCTTAATTAAAATATTAATTTCAAAAGTTTTTTGAAACGTGATTTTAAGAATTGATTCTTTAAAATAGAGAAGAGTTTGGCTCTAAAATATAGATATTGAGTTTGAAGAACCAAACCCACTTTCTTAATTAAAATATTAATTTAAAAATTTTTTGAAACGTGATTTTAAGAATTGATTCTTTAAAATAGAGAACTCATCGTGTTTTTAAAGAGGTTTTGGAGATTCTTTAAGGTTACTTATTGTCCCTATAGCAAATGGCTCATCCCCATTCGTTAAGACATCTCATGTGCATATGGGTGGGCCCCTCTTAGATTGCTGCTTCTTAAGGTTACTTATTGTCCTTATCATTCTACCATTCCTTTGCTAATGCAACACGACACAATCATTCTTATTTCTCAATCTATTTGTTTATCAACACACAGTATTTCCAACAAAATAAGAAAAGTTTAAAGTTGGTTTCATTAATGAAAAGAAAACAATTTTGAAAATAAATAGAAACCAACAATTATACCTTTGATTGACTAAACAGAGTGAAAAAAATAATAATAATAAATAAATAAAAATCAACCGACCCTAAATCTATTGAAAATGAACTTGCATCTACTTCTAATGAATCGACCACGCAAATAGAGTGGACCCCAGAGAAGTTGGGTATAAGTGCTTTTTTTACATATAAAGCAAACACAAGACCGTTGCAAGAAGAAAACTCTTTTTGAGTGAGCTGTGCAAAGAAAAAAGAAAAAAGAGGACATGTCTCTCTGTCTTGTCACCTATTGTTTAACTTCACTAATATTTCTTTAATAAAGACACGTCCCTATGTTAATCAGCAGCCTTGAACAACATTTCAGCAGGGGTATTTGAGACTTTTTATAAGCAATATTATAACAACAGCATATTTTAACATCCCAGGCCCAAACATAAGTCAAACAATGGCATGCTTACCATAGAAGAGAGTTTAGAGTCTCGTCGCCAACTAATTATAAAAATTTCACGTGTTAAAATAAATCTGACGTACGTATGAAGGGACGAGGTAAGATACAAATATGAGGAAGTAAATTTCTCTCTTCTCTAAGTTTAACTGTTTAAGCTTATAGACAAGCTTGTTCATTCAACAGAAAAAAGATCACTAAGACCTTGTATCATCACACAGATACACATATTCATGTACAACACATACAGTCACATTAAATGATGGTTTAAAGATGCACACTGAAGTAAAGAATTAAGAACTTCCAAGGAGATGTAAGAAAGCCTAAAATAATAATGTGGGGAAGGGGGGGGGGGGGTCCAATTCCCATGTGATTAGATAAGGAAAGGCTAATAAGAAATTAATCAGGCCTAAGAGCAACAAATTCAATGCATTTTAATACAATTGTTAGCATTCATAGTAATGTGATGCAATAAGAGAAAAGACGAGAATTATTAACAGATGTTAAGACTAATAATATAATGCAGACACCAGAATAAATAATTGGCAACCGTATTGTACTAAATGGAATTTTGGCCATCATCCGATGGCCAAGACCTACATAACCTGAATTTTTTAAGGACATTATCTTGCATTTACCGTTCAGAGCAACAATATTTTCATGGCTAAGGCAGGCAAATGAGATTAGAGTTCAAAAGAAACAGCCAAAGACGGAATTTACTCTACCAGCCAAATGTCAAACTGAACCAGAAGATAAACACAGGTGAACAGTAAGCACATAAGTTAATGTCAATTTAAATAAAATTTAAAAGGAATCAGTTTGCATAAGATAGAGTTAAAAAGATCATATAAAACAAGAGGCAAAACAATGATAGATGGATGTTTAGTTAGAACAAAAGGATAACATATTTATACACATTCACTGGAATGTTATTATTACATAGAAATGACAAATTATGTATTCATAAAATGTCTGTTCTTCCTAGAAATATCAAAGAACATGAAGATTACCAAAACAGAATTCAGAAATAACCGAGAAAGAAGATTTATGAACGGATATGTTTGACAGATATTCAAACACACATAAGATGACAAAAGATATGCCATCAAATCCAAAGGGAATCTATAATTTTGACAAAGTCAGGGCTATCAATAATCAAGATTCAAGATCCCCTATTACGATATCATAGTTCATAATTCCATGCAATCTAGATAATCTATGCTATCAAATCACAAAGCCAAGATGATTCGGTTAAAGAGTTAATTCTTCTGTTTTTCATGTTCTTGGTCAGTGTCTGGTGTAATAGTTACAAACAGAATTACTGAGTTAGAATCAATCGATATGTTTTACCATAAAAGCAAGAGAGCATCATATGGTAACACCCCGTTCGAAGCAAGAATTGAAATAACTGAACCATATTAGAACCTCCAGTACTTTAATGCTGGTTCATTTAAAGTTAGAAGCAATCTGCCTAAGCCACATAGATAATAGGAAAGGAGAATTCCAGGCAAGAAATCTCAAAATGTTCAAGGAATTAAAACGGCGAGCTGTGATTTCCAAGGCACCTTACTACCTTAGCAATAAGTCTGAATTGAGAAATCCACTAAAGGTTTTAACATCTCCAAGCCGATGCAGAAATCAGATCCTTCCGTTGCCAGCAAAGAACAAGCGAAGACTGCCTTTTCTCTATGTTGAATCCCTGAACAGGTGTCCTCTTCACCACACAATCAGCTTGTGATTCTGTGAAGTTGCTAAATGTCACGGGGGAGAATCCGGATGACAAAAACAAAGTCCTCCAATGCTGCGTCTTTTCAGGAGCACGAAAACGCCGCATCACTATTTTCTCAATTCCTGGTTGGAGCAACAACCTTTCAATCTTCTGTAGAGCATCAATATTCAGATTGACAGCATCTAGAGATTCAAGCAGGTTCGAATAGGATTGAAGAGCATGAATTATATGGTTGGGAAATGGCAGGTCAATCCTATCGCATCCTCTGTCCACCGAAACCACAATTTTTGGGGACAGATGCTTAACAAAGCGAAGAACCAATGGTATTGACAACTGATAACTAGCAAGAGAACCAACTGGGAGATTCACTGCTATAGCTTCATTCTCCGACACTTGAAAAGGCAGAGACCAAGAACCAGAATTCAAAGATTCAATACTCATAACCTCAAACTCAAGTACAACATTGATTTCGTTAGCAAAATGAATTAGATTTTCCCGAGTGAGGCTGAGCTCTAGCTGATCGTGGGTTGAGGGACACATAAATGCAGTGATTTTAAGCGCCGGTGCACCCTCCCTCCTTAATGCAAGCTCCTGCATCAGTGAGGCCCATTGCCCACCATAACCAATATCAAAATCCACAACATGAATTCTATCAAATCCTCCCACGACTTCAAGGAGGGCTTGGTTGCAAGTAAAATTGGCAAATTGTACAAGGGGTGAGATCTCAGAGAAAGATTTGTAGGCGCCAATTTTGAAAATGAGACTAAAAGGTGATGCAGAGGCGGTAGAAGGGACCATATTGTTGTTATTATGAATAGTCAATTGCAACGCCTCCTTGCAATAGAAAGCAGCCCTTTGGAAAGGCTTGCCAATGGGAGAGACCTGGTGATTGAGCCGCGCCAATATCTCTTGTGCAAGTATAGGATCCCCTATCTGGACCAACTCTGTGGCCTTGTAAAGCTGATCAATTATAGCCTGTTGTTGCTGTTGCAGATGGCAATATGCTAAATCATCCTCACACATCTTTGTCTTTGGTCCTGGCCCCATTGCTCTGGGTGGCCTTTGCTGCAGAAGTAACTGACGCTGATAAGACATTGGTTGCTGATGCTGGACTTGTTTTCCCATCAACGGCTCTTTCCCAGGAACTGAAAACGGCCCTTTCGGTATTTGACTACCTGGCTCGAGTTCTTCTCTTGCAGTCCCCGGGTTGTGTCTTTTTGCCTGGGGTGGCATGAAAAGATTCTGTTCATGCTGGTTTGCATATGAAGATGGAAAGAAAAAAGTTTGGTTTTGTGGATATTGAGTTTGGTGCTGGTTCATCAGCGTCTGTGCGGTGAAAATTGGAGCCTTCATTTCTGTAGAATCAAATGTAGTTGTAATGGGTCCAAGATTGCCAGATACTGAAGAAAACATGTTATTCTGAGAGCTGGGAAACTTAGAATTATTTGAATGATTTGAAGATGAATTCGAAAACAAACCAATCTTTTCATTGTTGGAACTCTTGCTGGGAGAACTAGAGTTGTGCATAAAATTTGAACCAAACTGAGCAACTGGGTCCGTACCAAAGGCTTGATCCACCACCCCAAAACCACCGTTGAACTCAAACTCCACCGTGGGCGGCGGCGGGGCAGTCCCAATTTGAAGAACCTTGTTCAGGCTGCCCATTTCCGGGTCATCCACATCCCCCATGATCAACCGCAGAATGGACTGCTCATGGCTTGGCGAGGCCACCGCAGACTCCGACAGCACGCTCTCCCACTCGTCCATTGCACATTTTCCGGCGGTGCTTCCGGAGGCGGCGGTGGCCACAGTCCCAATCTCGAGAGATGGATGAACAGGCAGTAACTGAGAAACAACTCCCGCGTTAGAGCTGGTGGCAGTAGTGGAGTCTTGCTGCCTTTTCAAGGATGGGCTTTTCTGGTTGTTACCTGAAACCGCCGCCACCCCGGCCGTGTCAGTGGAAGAAGCCCCACCACCAGCTATGCCGCCGCCGCCGCCGTTTCCTAAAGATGAAGACAGGGTTGAAGAAGATATAGCACTGCTGGGACTCCTTGCAATATCAAGTACAGATGTAGGCTCACCAGAGCTATTCAAAACACAATTACCGTTCAAATTATTGCTACCCCACCAAGATGAATTATCCCTAATATTACTATTATTGAAAGCAAGCTCTAAATCCACCCCCGTCCCCTCAAATTCAAAGGGTAAGGGCATCCCCTTCATCTAATAATCAAACCCACAAAATCAATTCCTCCCTCCAGCTTTAAAAACAAGAAAATCAAAAAGAAAATACAAAAGAGCACTTGTTACATACACGGTGCATGTATGTATATATTTCAAGATTTACTACCTATATTTTTTCTTGCTTATCTGAAGAAAAAATGTATATTGTGTAGAGAAATGGGTGAAGTTTTCTTCTTTTCTTTGTCTATCCCATATAGTACTAGTTTCTCTGTCTTGTGTTGTCTGTCATGGATGCGTGCAACGTAAAAAAGTAGTAAAGTGCACCCCATCCATTCATCTAATTTTATTTTTTTCTTTTTTCTTTTTTCTTTTTTTTTTTTTTTTTTTTTGGGGAGGTTTGTTTTGTTTAACGAGTTAATTTTTGTGGCTTGTCTGTAAACGCACGCAGTTAACTATGGAGCTACGGTTTATTCTGTCTTTGTCCAGCCCCATGTGCAGATACGGCGCGTCTTCTCCAGACCAATGGTAAAATCTATTAGTAAGTAAGTCCATTCTTTCAAAAATTCATTTTTTTAAAATTCATTTTCAATCACATATTTTTTAATAAAATAATATTGCATATAAATTCAATTTTTTTTTTAATTTTTGAACTACACATTCACCATCAATCACTATTTTAAAAAACATTATTTCACTTAAAATAAGGCTAAATTGATGTATATGGGATGATAACTGGATATGACCAATATTGGGGCTTTCGTTTAAGAGGCTCAATCAAAGCAAAAATTTATTTTAAAACACTATGAATTATCCTTTTAGTTAGATAGCCTAAAGATACAAAGAAAAGGAAAATCGATTTCTAAATTACTAAAATATCTTTGTATATAAAAAGACATAATGCCTTAATTCCTCTTTCAATTTTCATTTAACATTAATTCAATTTTAGCTTCCTTTTTTCCACAGTCAGGTCGACATCTCCATACAATTATTCTTCTTTTTTATCATCATTCTCTCTTTGATGAAACCCTAAAATCTACTACAGTCATTCTCTTGAACACTCACTTTGTTGAAATAAGTAATTAAAGTTTACAGTATTCTTAACATTTGAAGAATAAGGGAACGTAATGTTAAATTTCAATATTTGGCCTGCTTTCTTTTTCAATTTTCTTGAATCACATGTGATTTGTGTTTATGGTGTTCATTTGTCAATAATGATTTTGAATTCATTTTATCAATGAATTAGAGCTTTGATATGGTTGCTTTCCAATCTTTTTTATTACTCCTTATTTTTTAAGTGAACATGTTGGTAAACACATGTTTGACTATTCTATTTGTTATTCTACCGTGAATCATATATTTCATTTTTCCTATCCAGAACAACTTATATATCGTTTTCTCTACAAATCATAGCGACATATATATCGTTATCAATAATGTACAAATTTTGACATTTGATAAAATATATTATGGATTCAATTTGTTATTTAGTTGAATACGAGTAGTCAGTTAAAAGTGCTTGAAAATGAAAATATATAGTAAATGGCAAAGGAAAACATCGCTTATTCTTGTTTCGAAAACAATTTCTTATGTGAACATGTATGATAAAGTTACAGAGATGTTAAAGGTCGATATAATGCTATACAAAATGGAGATGTCAACTCTTGTTCTTGTAATTTCTAAGGCTCAAACTGTAATAAAACTGCTCATGTTCACTCCATTTGTAAATGCCAAATAGCTGGTGGTAAAACTTAAAGTTGTAATATTATCTGACTTGTAACTTTATTATTTTGAACTTATTGGAAGCACAAAATGATTTACTATTATCGCTTTTGTACTATTAGAACAACATTAAAGTCATTTTACATTGCTGTATTGTTTTCACGTTGTAGACAAATGACTTTTATATCGTTATAGTTGACGCATATATCATTTCACTATGAAAAATTCATAGATTCACATAAAATACATTGAAATCGTTCCTGAGACAAAATGAAATCAATGTTGTTCCAGTATGAAAAATACACTACTTTATTAATTTTCATAATGACATTGAAATCCTTATATACCAATAATATGACATGAAATTCATTATATAAAAATTTACATAGTGCACGTGACATAGGGAGATGTCGCGCCCATGTACAAGTGACCATTTGCTCTCTGGTGGTAACAACTCAGAGGCGCACATCCCAACCAATTTTTTTTTATTAACGTTTCGGACCCCAAAGTTTCGTCCTTCGTTCAATGGAGATATTTTCTCAGACAATTTTCAAAAAACGACAACAAATTATAAGTATCAAACTTATGAAATAACATAACGACATCCGCATCATTTCAATACAAATTTGATGACATTAAAATCGTTAATGCTTAGATCATAACTAAAATGACACAGATATTGTTTTCTTCAATGTACAACGATATTGATATCATTATGTATTAAACTTGTGAAATAACATGAAAACATTCATATCGTTTCAGTATAATTTTTAAGATATTGATATGTTTCAGTTAAAATCATATCGATTTTTAGCCAAAACGATATAATTAGCGTTTTACATAAAAAGAAAACGATATTTATGACGTTATTATTTGAACTGGAACAATTTTAAACTCATCAAATTCGTACTAAAACATTATGTACATCATTATGTTATTTCGTGGTTTGATACATAACGATATCATTATCATTTCAGTATAATTTTAACGACATTAATATCATTTAAATTTAAATCATAGCTAAAACAACATATATATCATTTTAGTTTATATATAATGATAATTATATCGTTTCTGCTAAAAATGATGATTCGACTGTTCACTATCACCCGATATACATCCGATATAGGTAGGACTATCAAATAGGTCATTAAGTGGGTTTGATCTCACTCAAAAGAAACTATGAGAATATTTGTATTCCTATAATTGTATACAACCTCAGCCATTCGTTTTTCTTAGCCATTTGAGTGACATCAATCCACCTGATGACCTCTTCCAATCATCATATGTATATTAAAGGCATGTCAGATTGTTGTACACGGTCTAATTGTTATTTTTAGTTAGAACGATATAACTATTATTTTATATGAAAAGAAACGATATCTATGTTGTCGTAGTTATAATTTGAACTTGAACGATTTGAAAATCGTCAAATTCTACTAAAACAATATGGATATCGTGATGTTATTTTGTGGATTTGATACATAACGATATCTAAGTCACTTTAGTTATGATTTAAATTGGAACAATATTCACGTCGCCAAATTTGTATTAAAATGAAGACGAAAGTTTGGTCCCTTGGACGCACGTGCTATTTAAGTTTTTTAGTATAATGACTTATATGTTATTCTATTGATCTATAATGACTTCAATGTTGTTATGAAAATCTATAAAGCAGTGTGATTTTCATATTGAAACGACATCAATATTTTAAGTACAAATTAATTTCATTACCATACAAAAAATACAAGTGAAATTTGATCACTGCATTATCTATCCAAAATATCAACACAATTTCAACACACGCGTTAAAATAGAAATTGTATAGCAAGGCATCAGATAAGAACTGAACTAGAATAAAGTATTATATTAACAATTAACAAAGACGTCAACTTTTTCATAAAATTCCCTCATTATGTATGATTTCCCTGCACAATTGAAGAGAAAAGCTTCCTCATTATGATTAGCTACTTAAAAAAAATAAGCCCCTATTTGTACTAATTAAAATCTAAATTTTAATATAAGTTAAAGTCAACAATTTATTTCAATTACATATTTTATGGGTTGTGTAACTTTTCAACCACACATTTCATCAACTTCCATCAAAATTTACCTCAAATGGGGTCAATTTAAATCACATTTCTTGTAACTTCTGTTTACACTCGCTGCAAAACACAATTAATAAAAAAAAGTGTATTTTAAACAAACAATTCACCTGATAACGAAGCATGATTGTATTCAAAGGTGGAATACCGTGTATAACTAAGAAGTATATTATGTGAATATTTACAAAGAGGAAGTCAGAATTTGACACATTAAAAAAACAAAAAGATAAAACCCACTGCATTTCACACTTATAAGTCAGAATTAAATATACCTTCATTGAATATCTAATCTTCAATTCTCCATCCACAAATGTCATAATTAGCTATAATAAACAGTGAAGACAAAAAAATCCCAACAAATGAAAAAAAGAAAACTAATCAGTTCAGGCCAAGAACTTCTTTGGCACCATACCTAGTAACCATCTCAAACACAGAATTAATGAAAGTAATGGGATGATTCAATACTAAAGCATCCATGACAACAAACTCACAAAGTGCCCGCTGCAAAAATTTGTCCACTGGAAAAGGGCAGCGTCCCACCTTCACCTCCGTCGCTCTTCCTCAACAAGAACCCCAAAAAAATATGAAACTAATGTAATTCAGAAAAAATATAATTTTTAACGTGAAGGAGAAAACGAATTTCTTTGGAATTTGAAGGAGAAAATATTTTTCAATTTTAAATTTGAGGAAGAATGGCTTTAGAATTAGAAGAAGAATACATTTTTCAATTTCCAATTTGGAGAATAATAGCTTTTGACATGAATGAAAGCCTCCAATTCCCTTCATTCCTTCTTCAATCTAGACCAGGTTTGATTGGGGATAATTTCCATGCCATTTTCCAACTTTTTTGGTGTTTAATTGCAAAAGTTTTCGATGGAATTCATTTTCCATATTTTCCTCATACGTGGATTTTCTTTATTTTGGTTGAAAATCAATTCTCACCAACACGGTGTGAGAATTGGTTTTTCCACATTTTTTTGAGATTTATTTTATTTTATTTTTGGCAATGGGAACAATTGTAAAAGATGATATCCCTTAAATTGACAATTTTCATATAAAACAAAGTTAAACGAACACCAAAATATAGATGATTTTCGGATCTTTCTTTTTGGCAATGGAAATAAATACTAGAAATAATTGTAGAAGTGAATATTCTTTAAATTGACAATTTTCTTGAAAAATCAAAATAAAGTCAAACGAACAATAAAATACACTTTTATTTCAACATTTTTCAGGTAGAAAATTATACCAATCAAACACTATTAATTGATAGCCCAGTAAAACAAATTTTAAGCAATTCAATTTCCCAGAATTCGTTTTCTTTCCACCCAAATTTTATCTTTGCAATCAAACGAACCCATAATTTTACACGAGAGGCGTAAAGTGGTATTTTCATACTTTTAAATAATTAATTGTTTTTTTTAAAGTTTGGTCAAAGGTCATATGAATAAAAAGACATTGAGGAGTGGCC